CCCTGGGAACTGTGGGCCAAGCCTGTCCCATATTGCAGTGAGCAAGTTCAGATACAACCCCAGCGAGAGCCTCTTTGAGATGGCACAGATCCACTCTCTGTCCTTCAAGGCCATCGGCAGTGCCATGGGTCTTGGTTTCCTGCTCTCCTTGCTTTTCTTCATTGAGCAGAACCTGGTGGCTGCCCTGGTCAATGCACCAGAGAACAGGTACTGAGGGCTGTGGGAGGGTGGGGCAGGGTCCCAGACCTCTGACAGCCAATAGGACTCTGTCCATGTGTACCCACCTACCTACCTCAGGCTGGTGAAGGGCACAGCCTATCACTGGGACCTCCTGCTACTTGCCATCATCAATACGGGGTTGTCTCTATTCGGGCTACCCTGGATCCACGCTGCCTACCCCCACTCCCCGCTGCATGTACGGGCACTGGCCTTGGTGGAGGAGCGTGTGGAGAATGGGCACATTTATGAGACGTGAGTATGAGTGGTCCCTAGGGTTCTAGGGCAAGAGCCAGGCAGACCTGAGGGTCAGACCGGGACAACCTGGGGCTACATGTGACCTAGGAAAGATTGTGGCTTAAAGACGAGGGCTCAGAGCAATGTAGCCCTAGCTAGAGCCTCATGCAGCCCTGTGCTCTGGGTCCCCACAGGATTGTGAATGTTAAGGAGACCCGGCTGACCGCGCTGGGTGCCAGTGTCCTGGTGGGTCTCTCCCTGCTGCTGTTGCCCTTCCCACTGCAGTGGATCCCCAAGCCTGTGCTTTACGGGCTCTTCCTCTACATTGCGCTCACCTCCCTGGACGGCAACCAGCTCTTCTCACGTGTGGCTCTGCTGCTCAAGGAGCAGGTGGGTGCCTGGGCCAGGGAGGGAGTGTGGGGGACACACAGCCATCCCTGACTGGCTGGTTGCTGCTGCCCACAGACATCATACCCACCCACACACTACATCCGGAGAGTGCCCCAAAGGAAGATCCACTACTTCACAGGCCTACAGATTCTGCAGCTGCTACTGCTCTGTGCCTTCGGCATGAGCTCCCTGCCCTACATGAAGATGGTCTTTCCCGTCATCATGATCGCCATGATTCCGATCCGGTATGACCAGGCTGGGTGGCTGTCAGGAGGGCTCAGCCCACCGCTGGGCTCAATGGGTACCTGCTATGACCATCCACCACTCACTCTGCCTCTCCCTTTCTCTGCAGCTATAATCTGCTACCCCGAATCATTGAAGCCAAGTATTTGGATGTCATGGATGCTGAGCACAGACCCTGACCTGTGCTGTCCTCTCCATCCTTTCAGGCCTGCTCTGTGACAATGTCCGGGGAGGTATGAACTGGAGGTGGCTCTGGCCAGTCCTCATTGTGGCCTAAAGCCCCTGGGCATTGTGGTTCTCAGTGTTGTGTACTCACCCCATTAACTTCAGTTTGGGGTCAGAGACAGACATTGCCAGGGTGGGGCTAAGAAGAGTAGATTTTCTTTTGATAAAAGAGTTGATGCCCAGGAGAGAGCCCATTTCCTTGATTGTATAAGGAATTCACTGTGTGTGCAATAGTGAATAAAAGTCTTGTTTCTATACTTCAACATGCTGCCTCCATCTTTGTTACTTTCCCAGACTTGGGGACAGGAAACAAACCCACTGAGAGAAGAATAAAAGGGACCAACCAATGTTCATCGTGTACCATCTATATGCTGTCATTTCCAAAAGTGGCCTCTGGCCCAACTGTGAGATGTAGACAACCAGACTTTTGTGTCAGCCAGTTGAGGCTCCTGCAAGGGATGTTTTCTGGGAACAAAGACCCAGAACAGACACAGCAAAATCATGTGTGGTGAAGAAAGTGGCTACGGGATAGAGATGAGGGCAGGAGTTTGGCTCTGTTTGGGCCAGTGATGTGATTTATTGAGAACTGGGAGACAGTCTGATTACTCTGATGGAGTGTAGGAAGTTAAGACATGCCAGGCTGAAGAGATGAGCCAACCTGGAGTGTGACAGCTGTTGTTAGTGGTCCTGATCCTGCCTAGCCAATGAGAGGCAACTATGCAATGTCAACCAATCAGAACACCTGGGTGCTGTTTTTCCATTCACTTGACTCCCAAGGTCTAGGTTGCTGACTTAGTGCCTTCTCATCCCCTCCCTGAGGGAGGGACTCATTAGGACCCAAGTAAAGCAACAATGGAGGAGGAAGAAGATGCCATGCTTCTGGTTTGATCCTTCCCAGGGGGAGACTAAGGCACTTCTACCCCTCTTCCTAAGGTCCCAACAACAGTTTATTGTGTTACAGAGAATAGGTGAGGGGCTTCTTACTAGAGCTTGGGTGTTCCTCCTCAAAGGCCACGTAGGCAAGTCTTTACCTATCAGGGATGATGATTTTCCCAGAGGCAAGGATGGAACCTCTCTCTAGTCCCTCCCATATACACACTTACCGTTGCCCTGGCCACATGTACTTAGGGTAAAGTTGCATATGAGCGGTAGAGTGCTGCATACTCAGGTGAGGCTCTTCTGACCCCTGCACCTCTTTGGGGGCTTTCACAGACAAGTCCAGCTGGAACAATCCATTTGCAAGTAGGGAAGTGAACTCTCACAGATCGCAGTTGTTTGGCCCTGAGGGTAATCACAGCATCCTCCCAACTCCTTCCTCCAGCCCTTCTTCAAGAGTTCCTGAGCCTGGGGATGTACTGGGAGTGTGATGGAGATGTCTGACTATTCTCCAAAGTACCAAACCCTTGTGCCCTTTGACCATTCCTCAGTCTCTGGAACACAGCTGTTGACAAGTCTTGAGAAAAATGGCAACAGAAGAATATCCAAGTGAATACAGACTGCAATAAGCTACGGTAGTAAACTCATGTGGGCAGGCAACTTAGCTGTCAAGAGCACTCGCTCTCCACTAGAGCCTATGACTTCCCTAGTCACAGGCTGTCTGTTCTCTGTGCCAGCTGGATTTTCCCCCCAGTGAAGCGGGCCTCCAGTCCAACCAGAAAGTTGGTTCTGTCTACAACCACTTGTGCGCTTACACACTTGCCTAGCACTTCCATCACGAAGCACGAGGGACCCACAGTTGAGCAGGACTTCGAGGCTTAACTTTCCCCAGCATCCTCAGATACTTCTGGCACTGCAGGAGCTAGCTCTCAGGGAGGGGACGCTTTCAGCCCAGCCCCAGCTTTATTTCCAGTCGGGCAGGCAATAGGGTCTTGTCATTAAGTTCTGGAAGGCAATCAGCAACTGTGGCAGAGCCTTTATTGTTTTAGGGGGCTCAAAGGCCTCTGTGGGAGGTAACCTTACTCCTAGCACTGGGGTTCCCAATTAACCTCCTATGGCTTTTGGGAGCACCTGGTTTGACCTTTGCTGTGCTCTTTAGCATTCTCAGGCGACAGATAGTCGCAAACCTTTCCCAGTAACTTTGGTGGGTACTGTGCCTTACCCAGCCGTACAGTTCCCACCAAAAATTCCACAGCAACACCTGGCCTTTGCACCCCATGGTGGCTTCAGGTGCACTCACACATCTCTTCAGTGAGTTGTATTAGCTCTGTTTAACAAACCCTTTACACGGAGGACTGACAGAGCAATGGTGTCTGATCTGACATCTCAAAATGATTAAGTGTGGAGACAACTCTCGGTGATGTCATTCTGTCCCCACAAGTATTCGTCTTTGTGTTGTTACCCTCCAAGAGTGAGTGCTGGCCCAACTGTGAATAATAAGACAAACCAGAGCTGAAGATGTTAGTTATCTGATTGGTGGAAGACCCTGGGTTTGGTTCCCAGCACTACAAAATAAATACAAAGTAAATGCCAGGTAACACCAGAGAAAATAGAGGATGCCTCCATACTAGGACACAGGTTCAGCATATTAGCAAGAAAAAAGGATAACAGGAATGGCAAGAGACGCTCAAACCTCTTGGCATAGTTGGGGGTGTAGCTCTGCAGAATGCCTCACAGGCCCTGAGTTTGCTCTCTGCACTGAAAAGGAAAAAAAAAAAAAAAAAAAAAAAAAAAAAAAGAAAAAAAAAAAAAAAAAAAAAAAGGAAATATAAGCCAAAAGGAATCCCACCTTAGACTTAGACTTGAGCTGGCAACAGCCTGGACATGTTAGGGTGAGTGGCACACCTGTAGGCATAGGGTGTGAACCTGTGCAATTATGCATTGTGTGTGTGTGTGTGTGTGTGTGTTCAGGTACAGTATATTCTCCTCAGATGTTTGTAGGGTGGGTGAAATAAAATGGGGAAGATTCAGGAAGGAGCTGAGCAGCAGACACCAAGCTGCCCATCCAACCTGCAATTCAAGTTGGGAATCCTCAGTAGCTTGGGCATTCCCTGAAGAGAAAGCCATATCAGGCAAGCAGCAGGGTGTAGGTGGGAAAGAACGGTGCTCTATACTTACCTACATATCCTGCCTGGGGTCAGGAAAAATGCTTTTAAGATGGCTGGATTCAAGGCCACCTTGCCAAGTCTGGGGGCCAAAAACTAGAGGGAATAGCTCCCGAACTGCCTGGGGCACAAAAGCCTGCTTTCTTCCCTAGTGCTTCCTGAGCACACCAGTCCTCTGCCAGGCAGAGTCCCTCCCAGGGAATGACTTGGGGACAGGGGATGCACATGATGGTATAAGACAACTTAAGCAGAATTCTTATCCTGCTTCTGAGAAGAGAGGGCCTTTAACATTTGTGTGTGTGTGTGGGGGGGGGGGGTTCTTCATTCTATGACATACAAACAGGGGCCAGAGTCAGTTCTCTACTTCCACACATGGGCTTTGGGACTGAACTCAAGTTGTTTGCCAGTCCATATACATTATAGGCTGGCAAATGACTGTGCTGCCTACACACCTACCCTCTTCCCGGCACGAATCTGACAGGGGAATGAGGACAGCCCGTGACTCACAACTCAAGTACAAGAAAGAACTCAAGTAGAACAGTGTGCCCTACCTATCCAGGCAGGTAAGTATCTTTCACAGCTCTGCCCCTCTGATCACCCATCAAGATGGCTCCCCACCTGTCAAAGGGCACTTGAGACAGCGAAGGCTCAAGACAGATATACCATTTATTCTGGAAACATGTCTTCCTTATTTACATGTATTTGCTGCATTCTAAAATCAAAGGTTGTGTGTTTCTTTGCCAGCTCTCAACCCAGCTAAGAAGTATGAACACACAAAGTTCTCTCAGGATCCCAGAGGCTGCAAAAGCAACTGTTTTTTTGTTTTTGTTTTGAGATAGCATCTCACTATTTAGCTCTGGCTGTCCTGGAATTCACTATGTAAACCAGGCTGGCCTTGAACTCACAAAGATATGTTTGCCTCCAAAATTCTGGGACTAAAGGTATACACCACTAGGCCAGGCCAAAGGCAACTCTCGAATCCCAAAGGGCAAGAGTTAGTGTTAACTGGCCCAGAATTCCCCTATACAGAGCACACTGCTCTTCCATCCCTGGCTGTTGAAGCTGCCTGGATCCCTGGCAAAGGGAACCCAGGGAAATACTTGCCAGGAGTGCCTGTCTCCTGCAGAGTTCTGCACCAGTCCTGCCCTCACCCATGACCTTAGTGGCCACCAGCCCCAGCAGTCACACTGAAGTATTCTTGTAGCTTGAGCAGGGCCCGGAATCGATGAGAAATGGTGTTCTTCTCAGCCTTTGGCATCTCTGCATAACTAAGAGGCAAAGAGAAGCAGCTCAGAAAACAGGGAACCCAGATTATCAGGAGGATGGACACCCCACTGCCACCCTGCAGCCCAATGACTGTGCTGGGGGGGGGAGGGGTCCCTGTAGGTAAAAAACATAACTAGAACCTTTGCACAGGCAAGGGGCAGACAGACACCCCCCCCCCATACTCCATGTTTGAGCCCAAAAATGAGCTTCTACCCTGAGAGCCAGGAAAGCAGGCAATGGGCCACCAGCTCCTCAGCCTATTACACCAGAGAGTGTTAAACTCCTGTATAAGGCAGAAGCCCACAGTAATGGGCTTGGAGAGAAGCTGGGGACAAGAATGAGGTAGGTGTTTGACAGGAAGCAATGGACCCTGACAGATCAACAGTACTGTGGCTTGCACAGCCAGGCAGCTGGTCGGACAATTTTGTGTTTGAGGATACTACAGAGGAGAGGTCACATCCTGCCTATAGGCTTCAGAGCTAGCATAGGCGGCCAAGTAATTACAACTGAATAAAAATGGGGCTACAGAGATGGCTCAGTCCCTGAAATCTGACAGTCCCTTCTGACCTCTGGCCAGTAGAGTCATATGGTGAACAAATATGCAAATAGTCAAAACACCCATTAACATAAAATAAACAGATAAAAATAAAACCCAGTTCCTCATCTAAATTCCAAGTGTTCTGTGCCCTACCAAGCAGACAGCACATCAGAGGACACTCCTGACACCCAAGGACGGTCTGACCAGGGTTGCTTGAGACTCGATGAAGAACCAAGCAGGGAAGCTACAGTCTAGAAAGCCTGGCCCAGTAATGGCAATGTACAAATATGTATAGATAAGAAGTTGCTTTAATGTGAAGTGCTACGAACATGTACTACTGTGCGGGTTCATATGTCTAAGAGCTACAAAAGTACACATTTTTCCAGTCCAGATGGAGCTAATGTCATCCCACAAAACCACAAGATTTATGTATCTTAATAGGCAGGGCCAGAGAATGGGAGTCACCTGCCATAAAACGGCCAAGTGAGCTGGGATCAGAACCTAGGATATCTAATGTTGCCCGGCCATGGACTAGGCCACCTGGATTCCTTATGTGCATCCCAGCAGAAATGGTATCGTCTGGAACAGAGCCTGCCTTACCCATATCTGCATGACTGCACATGGGCAGGATGCCCACCCAAACCCATGCACCAGGGGAGAAATGTGGGTTCCTTACGTTTGCTCATATCCATCAGGCTGAAAGCAGGGATCCCAGCCAAAGTCCCGGGAGCCTCGTGGCATCACGATCTGGCCCTGTAACAAGGATGGCAAGTATGTAGCAGGGAGAGCAGGTGTGTAATGGAGAGGGCAGGTGTGTACCTGGAGATGTACTGGACCAGAGTGAGCTTGTTTAGTTTGTGACTTTGACTACACCTGAATTATTCAAAAGCTCCCCAGTCCCTCTAAATCTGTTAGGCACCTGGGTAAGGTGTAGAGCTGTCGATGGATGAGACAGGGCAAGCCTGTAATGTGAGCACCGAGGAGGCTGAAGCAGGAGGAATGCTGAGTTACCAGGCCAGTCAGAGCTACACAGTAAGATTCTGTCTTAAATCAGGAGGCTAGGGAGATGGCTGAGCTGGTGATTGTCTTTTAATCATGAGGACCTAAGTTCAACTCCCAAACCCCACATTAAAACAAACACATACACAAACAAAAAACACTTTAAATAAGTCAAGTATAGTGGTATAGCGCCTGTAATCCCTGGAGAGGGGAAACAAACTAGTCTATTAAGCAAGTTTCAGGCCAGTGGAGACTGTTTCAAAAACCAAGATGGGCCAGGTATGGTGGTGCACACCTTTAATCCCAGCACCTGGGAGTCAGAGGCAGACAGCTCTTTGTGAGTTCTAGGCCGGCCTGGTCCACAGAGTGAGTCCAGGACAGTCAGGGCTACACAGTAAGACTGTTGAAAGTAAGAAGAGGGCAGGACACACAAATTCAAACATGAAAATGTCACAAAGATAACAAGTCAATGTCAAGTAACAAGTCTGATCTAGATTAGCGTTGAAGCTCAAGGGTGGGGCCAGGCTAGCAGCACCGCCACTACACCACAGACAAAGCAAGACAAACTACAGTAGGGGTAATTGCAGGCACGCTCCTGTAATCCCAGCTCCAGGGCTGAGGCAGAGTACTCCAAGTGAGTCACAAGTGAGTTTGTGGCCAGCAGGGGCAACAGCAAGACCCTGCTTCAAAACAAAAACCAACAAAAAGGGCTGGGAATACAGCCCAATGGTAGAGTCCTATCCCGGCACCTGCAGGGTGGGGGACAGAAGACACAGGGCAGTGACAAGGGTGGTAATAAAGCATGGAGAGAGCACATAAACAAGGGACAACTTGTTACACGGTGCCAGAGGGAAACTGCTTTTTCTGGTGGGGAGCTGTGTGACCAAAGCCAGTGCTTGAAGCACTGAGCTTCCTCACCTCAGCCTGGGGTCACAGCAAACCCAGACTTCTCCTCCCACAACAGATGCTATAAGGCAAACATCTACTACAGGGACATGCTGTTCATGTGCCACTCTTGACAATGAGTGCACAGGGAGACCAAAACAAGAATGGAGAAAAAGACCACCTCAAGGAGAGTGGAAGAGGGTAAGTACCAAATGCAGAGGCAGCCAAAGCTGGAACAGAGATCCAAAAGGCCTGCAGTACCAGCCAGTTTAAGGCAGTTGCCACTTAGTCACTGCAGGAAGTGGCTTACTGGAGATTTCTGGGAAAGCAACAGACAGCACAACTAACTGCTATCTAACTGGCTGTGAAACCTGCCCCTTACCACTCACTTCACATTTAACCTAAAGAGCTGAAAATGGGATCTTGACTCATTTGCATTCCTGGGGCACAGCACCATTATTCACAAGAGCCAAGAGGAGCAACCTAAGGCTGTCCACGGATAAGCTAAAGAAGGAAATGTAGAACAGGTGAAGAACACATATACGCATAGCTCTTGGGAAGTGGAGGCAAGAGGATCAGAACAGCAAAGACATCCTCAGCTACACAGTAAGTAGGGAGCAGCCCTGACACAAAGCTAAAAGAAAAAACAAGAAAAAGATTTTACACACACACACACACACACACACACACACACCAACCAATCAAAATGTTCAGCCTTACAACTCTCAGCACTGCTGTGCTACAATATAGGCAAACCTTGAGGACACCAAGCTAAGTGAACTAAACCAATCACAAAAAGCAAATACTAAAGCAGGGACATAGTGCTATGGTGGTACACACCCAAAAATCTTCGTACTCGGGAAGCTAAGGCAGGCCAGCCAGGGCTACTAGTGAGAGCCTGTCTCAAAAATAAACAAAAACAAAGTGGGGGGGGGGGGAGCAGTGGTCTCGAACACCTCTAATCCCAGCATCTGGAAGGCATGGAAGGCAGAGGCAGACAGATCTCTATGAGTTCAAGGCCAACATGATATACAGACTGAGTTCAGAACAGCCAGGTTCTTTGTGTAAAGAAACTATCTTTTAAAAAAAAAAAAAAAAAAAAAAAAAAAAAAAAAAAACAAAAAACAAAAAACAAAAACAAAAACAAAACAAAAAAAGCAGTGGCTGCTCTTGCAGAGAACCTAGGTTCAATTCCCAGCATTCACACGGCAAGCAGTTCACAGCCCTCTGTGACTACAGTTCCAGGGAACCAGTACTCTCCTTGGCTTTGATGGGCACCACATTAGACAATGTGAATATACATGCAGGCAAAGATACCCACACATATAAAATAAAAATAAACTTAAAAATAATAAGAGTTAGGTAGTCAAAATGGTGGCTGCTAGGAGTTAGGTAAAGAAAGAAATGGGGGCTTGTTCAATGGATAGTTTCAAACTTATAATCAAAAACATTCTGTAGTCCTGGTAAATGCAAATATATTTAACACTTAGTATACCGAACAACAGTTAAAATGTGTTTGTGGGGCTGGAGAGCTGACTCAATGGTTAAGAGTTCTTGCTGCTCCTCCAAAGACCAGAGTTCAGTTCCTAGCACCCACATCTAATAGCTCTAGGGATCTGATGCCTCCAGGCTCCTTGGGTATCTGTACTCATATGCACATACCCACATGCAGACACACAAACCTACTCATAATTAAAAAAAAAAAAAAAAAAAAGATGGTTTTGTTTTTGTGTCTGTGTTTTGTTTAACCACTATCCAAAATATTTAACCAAACAAAATAACACAAAGTGTCTGTATACAGCCCAGCTGGGGAATTAGGTTTTATCTTGACTGGAGGGCTGGAGCAGACAGATACGCTGGAAGGCAGATGGCGCACTGGCCTGACCACTCTAAGGGTGGTCTGGTGGATGTTCAGAAAAGCAACTACACTTCAGGTCTGACAGGCAACTTTAAGGAGTGCTGAATGGCCACTGACAGAGAAATAAGCTTAAAAACTGAAATTCTGAGCTGGAGAAGTAGAGCTATGGTGAAACACTTACACTGCACAAAAAAGCTCTGACTTCTGCCCCAACGACACAAAACAACATTAAAATTTTATGTGAACAAGAAAATCAGAAAGGCCAGGAGATAATCAAGAGAAAATGTAGGCCAGGCATGATGGCACCTGCCTACTTGGGGCAGAGGTGGATCTCTGAGTTTGAGAGCTGCATAATAAAGACCATGTCTCAAAGAAAAAAAAATGTGGGGGGGGGGGCGGGGAGCGGAGGCTACAGACTGGATATGATGACACCACACTACAATCCCCACTTAAGAGGTAGAGGCCATAGGATCTGAAGTTCAGCCAACCTGGGATAAATGAGACACTATCTCAAAAACCCGAGTGGGGAGGAGACTCTGGTCCTGGCAGATGAACAAAGCAATCTTAGCAAGGTAGCCTGTAGCTTTGGCTTTGAGAACAGTTAGTTACCTTTTGTTTGTGCATCTGCATCTTACCAGGACCTACCCTGACAGGATCTGAGTGTACACGGCTAGGGGTCAAATAGGTTTGGGGACTGACATTTTCCTAATCGTAGTGTCCAGGTTTGTCTCGTGGCAAGCATAGTGACCAAAAGTAACTGCTAACTCTAGCATCTTCTTGTTTTGTTCCTGCAGCAGACTGAAGGCCACTTATTCAAGCCACAGAGTTCTCTAGTGACTTGCAGAACTGTTCAGTGTGTACGCACCGAGGTCTGGCCCCTGAACAGGAGTACTGGCTGGCTTGGGTCTCCGGTGCTGAGTGCAAATGTGCAAAGTGCATAGGCTGATTTGTCCTCAAAGCCGGCCAGGAGCTGGTGGAGGCCTGCAGGCAGATTTAGTGAGGTCAGTGAATCCAGGCTGTCAAGCCCCACCCTCACACCAGAAGCCCAAGGGTGTAGAAGAATTCTCCAAATTGGGCTGTGTTGGGATGAGAAGTTGCAATGCAAGGGCTGCATTCTAGTCCTCAAGAGTGTGCTGAAGCCTCTCTTCAGGCTCTGACACAAACTAAAACAAGGTTTTTTGTTAAGATCAGAGTCTCATGTAGGCCAGCTTGGCCTAGAACTCACTTGTAACCCAGGCTGTACTGGAACACGAGATCCTTCTGCCTCCACCCCGTGAAGGCTGGGATTACAGGCACATATCACCACATTTGATTTATGTGGCACCAGGGACTGAATCCAGAACTCCATGTATGCTAAGCAAACATTCTGCCAACTGTGATACATTGCCAGCCTCTGTTGTTGAGACCAAGATCTCAGGTAGTCTAGGCTAGCCTCTAACTTGCTGTATAGCCTATAAACTTCTATCCTCTGCTTACAGCTCTCAGGATTACAGGCTTAGACTTCCGTGGCAATCTGTTTGTGTTTTTAAAACAGGATGTTGCTCTGTAGCCCAGGCTGAACTCCAGAGTCTCCATCGTGTTGGGTCACAGGCATGTATCTCCATACATGGCTAACACAGATTGCTTCAAAGAGTAAAATGGGTTTTGGTTTTTAAGATTTTTTTATTTTCATATATGTGTTTTGGCCACATGCATGTGCACTAGGGCCCACTGAGGCCAAAAGATCCTCTGAACTAAAGTTATGGACAGTTATAAGCAGCCTTGTAGGTGCTGGGAACCAAACCTGGGTCCTCTGCAAGAGCAACAAGTACATGTAACTGCTGAGCCAGCTCTCTAGCCCATTCTGTTTTCTTGAGAAAGGGTTTTATGTGTGGCCCAAGCTGGTCTTGGACTCTGGATCCTCCTACCTCAGCCTCCTAAGGGCTAAGATTATAGAAATACAACACTACCTAGTTTAAAGTGCTTGGGAAAAAAGAAAAAAAAAAAAATACAAAGAGGATCAGATGATGGAGGTACACACTTTTAAACCCAACACTTGGGAGGCAGAGGCAAATGGATCTCTGTGAATTCAAGGCAAGCCTGGTATGCAGATTGAGTTCCAGAACAGCCAAGACTACACAGAGAAACACTGTCTCAAAAAGCAAACAAACAAAAAACAAACCAAAAAACCTAAAGAGGGAATATTTTGGCATTCACTCCCGAGTGAAAAGATAGATTCTTGGACTTAGAAGAGATAGCTCCCTCTCTGAAGACCAGGCTAGGCCATGGCTGAAGCAAGGAACTACAAACAGTTATTAAGTGATGTCCCTTGATAACCAGAACCAACTACAGCCCCCTGTCCCTTAAATTCAAAGCTTTTATCACCTGTCCCCAACTCTCCGCCTCAGTGCTTTCAGGAGAGATGAGAGTGGAGGCCAATGGCAGGGCCTAGAGTATGGATTACTAACGGGGACACTCCCAGACTTAATCCCCAAAGAACCATGTGAAGAAACAACAGGGATACATACCTTCAGGCTTTAGCTTCTCTAGAAACCATTTTCTGCAAAAGAAAGAGAGTCAGTGCCAAGAGCAAGAGCAGACTAATCTTCCTATCACCTACTCTGGCCTACACCCCCGAAGGATTAGAGCTCCCAAAAGCAAGAGGAATGAAAAAGACCGTCTCAAATCAAACTAAGAAAATAATCCAAAGCCTGGGAGTATAACTCAGCAGCAGAGGAACAGAGGGGGAAGGGCAGGGGACTGAAGGGAGAGCAAGAGGAGGCAGAAGGAAAGGGACGAGAGAGACAGAAATATGAGTCTAACAAAAAAATGGAGTCAAACAGGCAGTAGACAGAAGGCTCAGTATACCAAGGAAGGCGAGAACCTCAGCACTGACTAGGGAAATACTTAGGCTGAAGCAGGAAGACTACCACAAATTCCAGTCCAGCCTGGGCTACAGTGAGGCATACCAAGAAAAAGTAAACAAAGCATGTTCACATTCCCTAAACTGCGAAATTAACATTAGAGTCACAATGGTGCTGGTGGAGCTATGGAGCAATGCAGGCTGTAGGTTAACCGTGTGTGCCACCGCTTTGACAAAACACAGCAATCACTTTTCATCTTGTTTTACCCTGATGGGAGATGTCATTCTGTAAATATGTTTCTCTTATTGGTTAATGAATAAAGCCCTGTTGGTCAATAGAAAAACAAGACAGGTGGGACTAGGAGACAAGGAGGATTCTGGGACTTGAGAGGAAGAGGTCCGGACCCTCTCTCCGGTAAGCCAAGACCATGTGGAAATACTTAGATTAATAGAAATGGGTTAATATTTAAGATAGCTAGCCAATAAAAACACTAGTAACTGGCCAAAAGCTTTATATCAAATACAGCATCTCCTGTGTGTTATTTGGGGCTGACATGGCTTTGGGACCAGGCTTGCAGGAAAACATTATCCCCTCCCCTTTTTTTTGAGACAGGGTGCCATATCATCTTCAGAAATGAGCAGATACCACTTTTCAATCTCACTCACAGAACCACACTCTTATAATTAAAGAAAACTGTGTCTCTCTGATTTCTGGGTGACGGGATCTCATGTAGCCTAGGCTGGCCTAGAACTCCCTATGTAGCCAAGGATGACCCAGAACTTTTGACCCTTCTGTCTCTGTCTTGTAAGTGCTGGAATTTTAGGCATGTAACACCATGCCTACTCACCTGGTGGAGTAGGAGTTGAACTCGGGGCTTTATTACACAACAAAGGCAAGCACTCTAACAAGGGGACTATGTCCTCATCTGTTATTTTTATTATTATTTTATGCATATCAGTGTTTTGCCTACATGTATATATATACATACATATGTGCCTAGTGCCTACAGAGGGCAGAAGAGAAAGTCAGGCTACATGGAAAGATAGCTACAGATGGTTATAAGCCGACACGTGGGTGATAGAAATTGAACCCAGATCCTCTTCAAGAGCAGTGTTCTTAACAGCCAAGCCTCATCTCTCTAAGCCCTCTTTTTAAAGATTTATTTACGTGTGTGTGTGTATACATACCTATGTGAATGTATGTGCATACTTATGTCTAGGTACTTGTCTGTGGAGGCCAGAAGGTGCTGGATCCCTTGGAGCTGGAGTTTGTAAATTGAATGTGGATGCTGGAACCTCACGACTGAGCAACAAGCACTCTTAAGGGTTGAGTCCTCTCTCTAGCCCCTATAGACAGGGTCTCACTGTATAGTTCTACCTGGCTTAGAACTCACTATTTGGTCCACACTGGCCTCAAACTCACAGAGAGCTGCCTATCTGTGCCTCCTAGTGCTGGAATTAAAGATGTGCACCACCCCACCCAGCTCTCTTTTTCTTTTGTTAATTTTAATTAGCTGTAGGTGTATATGTGTGAGCATGTGTATGGTGTGTGCATATGAGTGCAAGTACCCACAAAGGTTGGAGGCATCAGATTCCATGAAACTGAAATTATAGTTGTAAACTGCATTATAGTAAGATACTCACTTTGTCCGCACCTGTGGCACTGACCACGCCCATGGGGGGGGGGGGGACAGGGGACAGATGTGACCTGGGAGAACTAGGTCTAGATAAGGGGCCCTGGAGCGCTCTCTTGCTTGCAGGACAGGGACAGGGAGCACCTGGAGGCATCCCTGGGACCAGGAACTTGTTGGCGTTCATCTGTCTCTGTTGTAAGTTATTTCTCCCTGAATAAACATCTATTCAGCCTATACCCACGATATTGCATGATTTAGGTGCTGAGATTCAAACCTGGGTCCAGCAGAAAAGCAGCAAGCACTCTTAACTACTGAGCTATTTCTCCAGTCCTGTCCTTGATGGTCTTACTCCTTCCTCCGTTATGATGCCAAGATAACATCAGGTAACTACTCATTTTACTATTCTGGTAGTTTTGTGGATGGGGCCCTGCAGGGGTAGAGGTGTAGTAGAAGTACTCACATGTAGGGGCCAGGGAGCCCCCCGAGGGCATTAAAGCACAGACAGGTATCCTCCACCAGTACAGGACCCTGCACCTGTAACAAAGACACATAGTCCTGAGATTTCTATCAGCAGTAGGTTTCATCACAACCCTGAGTCTACTCAGCTGGGGCCCAGACCACAGCTAGGTGAGGGTGAGGCGTGCAGTTACAGGTTAATCAAGTGCCACACAACTCAGCTCTCTGCCTGCAGTTTAGAAATGTGACAGCAGAGAGCACTAACAAGACAAGTCTTGCTCAACACAGAGCAATGAAGAACTGGAAATCAGCTAAGAAGCCCGATTCCATAGTGTACTCCTTCCCAGCTCTGCAAACTGTGAGTACGGGTGTGTGGGTGGGTGGGGGGCGGTTGGACATTGGACATGTGTAGGGACATGTACGGCTGGAATGTATGGAACTAAGAATCAGAAAGGCGAGAGCTGGAACAGAAGAAGCAGTGTCCCAACAAGGCACAGGCCCCAGGAGCCCACAAGACCGAATGGAGGACCACAATGGTTAAGTACCTGGCGAGCTGCCTCCTTACACTTCTGTATGGAGATTTCATCTGGCTCTCCCTGGTACTCAGGCACTTATCGGGGAAACAGACACACAGATGTATAGAGTCAGGACACAGGGTGACAGTTAAATCAAACCACTTTTAGAAATGAAACAAAACAGAAACATACGGTCAATTTTCTGTGCCACCAAAGTGCATGGAAACTTATCTCCTAGAATCTGAATGACCTGTTCCAAAAATGAAAGAACATTTGTCACTCCGTTTGCTAACAATCCCCCACTAGTTCCCTATTACTATGTGAGGTGTCACCCACCTTCTCATTAGTCCCCCTAAAGCTTTTCAAACTGGGCCCATAAGCCTCATCCCAACTCTCAGAGACCCACTAAATGAGCATCCCTTTCCCCTTCCAACTTCTGGTTTTGTTTTTTTTAATCTCACCCACCCTTCCATCTAGAATGTTCTGTAAGGAACTAATCCTCCAGCCCAGGAGTTCTCTCAAGGGCCAACCAGAGCAACCTCCAAAGAAAACTGCTCTGCATTTCCACTAGGCCCTAGTTGACATTCACCTTTTCAATTCAGGTCACAAATCAGGCTGCACCAGCAGTTCCCATGACTGCTCTTTCTTCTTTGTTTCCCAGTGCAGCCCTGACTAGATGGGCAATTTCCTGCCTTAATCACTGGCCCCTGCTTCCCCGTCACCCCCAACCATCCCAACTCAGTACTAATATTACAGGCACGTGCCATCCATCCTAGCTTCCCAGTGACTTTTGGTTTTTTTGTTTGTTTGTTTTTTCCAGACAGGGTTTCCAGCTTTTGAGGCTGTCCTGGAACTCCCTCTGTAAACCAGGCTGGTCTGGAACTCACCTGTTTCTGCCTCCCAAGTGCTGGGATTAAAGGCGTGTGCCACCATCACCTGGCTCACACACACCTTTTATGAGACAGGGTTTCACTTTGTTACTCAAAGTCCTCCCATCTCAGAGTCCAGAATGCTGCAATTAGAAGCATGTACCACCATGTCCTCTTCTTTTTGTATATTAGAGTATTATTTCTATTGTCATAGGTTTGTGTGTTCAAGGCAAGGCTATACAGCAAGAACCTATCTTGGAAAGAAAGAAGGTAGGGGGCCATCAAAAGGGCTCAGCAGATCCCAAACCTTTAATCAGGATGGCTCTGGCTGTTTCGAAGACCACCCTGTCCTGTACAGAAATGCCATTAGTCCCTGTTTTCAAGTAAGGAAGGTCCTCCTGCTGCATCAATTGTTCAGCCTCAGACGCACAGAGCGGATGTCATCCCGATTCTCCATACATGATCCTAGCTTCTTAGCAATGCTGACTGAAGAAGAGCCCACTCAACTACAGCCAGAGCCAACATCTGTCAGAAGCTTCGCTATCTCCTCTCATAAATAGGGACAAAGAAAGACTAACTGGGCTAAGAATGAGCATCCAGAGCTGGGCGGTAGTGGTGCACACCTTTAATCCCAGTGCTTGGTAGACAGAGGCAGGTGGATTTCTGTGTGGGTTCAAGGCCTGCCTGGTCTATAGAGGGAGCTCCAGGACAGCCAGGGCTATGTATGTACCAAGACCCTGTCTCAAAAACAAAGCAGAAAATGGAAATTATGTGACCTATACTCACTTCAGAAATAGTCCTACCACATACAAGGAACTGTCCAATATGGATGGACTCGCTGAGTTTCCCCAGTCCATTAGCGCTGGGTCATACCCTTTCTGATCACATCCTACAGTAATGCTTCATCAAATCTAGATAGAAAAACAGCTTTCTCGGGCTAGGAATGTAGTTCAGAAGTAGGACAGTGACAGCAATTCTGTAAGTCCTGGGTTAGATTCAAGGCATGAAGAAAATAAGTCTTTGGGTCTTCATACTACGTGTGTTTTTCTTTTGTTAACCTCAGTTTTCTTATACTGTGGTCAGCCATGAATCTTATGAGGTATTACACATTTAGATACGGAAAGTGCCTAAGAGTAGACGAACCACAATGGGCTGTGAACTACTCAGTCTGGATCAACCCCACACACTTTCTGTTTGCCATCACTTTTGAGGCGGAGGTGTCAGAACTTAGGGCTTAGGGGTTATCTTTGTCGTAGATGCCACTACTCCAGCTCTCATGGTCTGCTGACTTTACAAGCTCATCCCAAAACAGGCGTGGTAGGGCATGCACGTAGGCCCAGAACTCAGGAAGACAGGAGGGTCAAGGGAACAAGATCAATCCTCGCTTCAGAGCTGGGTCAGACTAGCCCGCACTGCACTACACGACCCCAAAATAATACAAAACAAAACCTCCAAAACCTTAAATAGGACTGGAAAGATGACTCAGAGGTTAAGAGTCCTGAGTTCAATTCCCAGCAACCACATGGTTCACAACCACCTATAATGAGATCTGGTGCCCTCTTACGGCACTCCGGCATACAGGTAGGTAGAACACTGTATACACAATAAATAAATCTTAATGAAAAAAAACTTAAATGCTCTGGACTCTCAAGGCTCCGCACTCCATGGAGGTCTCTTCCCCAAGCCCAGCCCTTCCACACAGAGACTAAACCACGTTCCGTTCCAACGCCCAGGGTTCCTCGCCCCCCCCCCTCAAGGCAACTCCTGCAGCCCTATCTCCACCCGCCTTCTAGAGCGTCCCCACACCCCACGACACCTCCTCCAGCTTCTTTGCGTTTCCCGTCACAAACACGATCTTCTTTCCCGTCAAAGATGCGGCCATTGCAAAGGCTGGTTACCCCCGAGAGTGCCCGGAGGTTCTTTGCGGGGGAACAGTAGACACTTCCGGCTGGAGGCGGAAGTAGATAGCCCAAATTCCGGCACTACCTGAAACCTAAGCAGGTCTCAGGCTGCGGCTACCGGCATCCGTGGCAGAGGAGTTTCCCGCAGCAAGCGCTGCGTGAGGCGCTAAGGGGCGCGCCCCGGGCGGGAGAGGTCATTCAGCGCCTGGGTCCTCTGCTCCTCACCCCGCTGGGCTCGGACGAGGAGGGAGCATAGAAGCCGTGCCGTGACCAGCTGCAGTCCTGTGTCCTGAGCGGCGTGCGCCCCTCGGAACCCCAACTCTGTCATGGAACACTAGCTCCAAGCCTGGGTCTGTGTCCTTCAGACCCACACCTCGAGGGCTAGCTCCATCTACTTAACTGCAAACTTAAAAGCAACGTGAACAAGCCATCTACTCATCTCTTAGGTTTGGGAGCTAGTCCCGCTTATCACACTGCATCCCTTCTCCAGAGGCATTCCTTTCAGCCCAGTCTCTGCACTGGGAACACGCACGGAGGATTAAAATGCCTTCCACATGTTTACCTGAGACCGCTGAAGCCAGAAGAGGGCGTCACATCTCCTGGAACTGGATTTACAAGTGTTTTTTGAGCTGCCTGATATGGATGCTGGTCCTCTGTAAGCTGCAAGCTTGTAGCTACAAGCTACAAGCTCTCAGGCTGGTGAGATGGCTCAGCAGATAAGAACACTGACTGCTCTTCCAGAGTTCTGTTCCCAGCACCCACATGACTGCTCCGCCCGCAGTTGTCTGTAACTCCGGTTCCAGGAGATCCATTGCCCTCTTCTGACCTCCTAGGGTACAAGGCATAAACATTGTGCAATCACATGTGCAGGCAACACACATGTGCAGGCAAACACACACACAAAGTAAAAAACAATCTTTTAAAAAGATTGGTGCTAGCTAGACAGAGTGTAATTTTGGCATGCTAAGACTAAAACAGGAAGCTCTTGAGTTCAAAGCTAGCCTGGGCCATATAGTGTGTCAACGCTGTAGCTCGATGGTAGAACATTTGCATAGCTCAGCCAAAGTCCTGGGTTTGGACCCCAGAAGCACACACACAAACAATGGAATCTTAATAAAGCCTAGTTGTTTGGCTTAATAGTATTGATCTCTTATAGTCTTGGTTATTTATCTTATAGTCTTGGTTATTTGTGTGTTGCTATAGATGTAACTTTAGGGTTTATGGAAGCAACTTAGGCAAGCACTATACCAGAGCCACATGCCCAACCCACTAACTCCAGAACTATCCTCACAGAATAGCCAAAGCAGTGTTCTCCAAAACTCTTTGCGTAGTGATCTTAATATTGTGTATTGCATAGTGCTGAGGCTTTGAAGTATATTGTGTCTTTGGAGACAGGTCACGAAGTTTCCCCTCACTGACCCTCCAATGGTGTTATTTTTTGAGGGCATGTGGCTTATTAGAGTTGACTGGGAAAGGCTGGGGTGCATACACGGCTCTTCCTATATGGCACTTGTCTTTCTCCTCCATGAAGTCAAAGGGAACCCTCAGGAAAGTGGAGAGTAGATGAGGTTTTAAAGGAAAGGTGACTTCTTGGATGTTAAATGCCTCCACTTCAGCCTCTGGCTAGGAGCTTGTAACGATGTGCATATAAGGACTAACAGATACCATGTAGTATGGTGGGTTAACTCAATGATCCCCAGATATCACATCCCAAGTGACCTGGCAAGGAATTAAGAATAGAAACATAAAAATGAAGATGGAATTAAATGGGGTTCTCCAATTGATACTTCTGCCTGGAATCTCAGCACTGTTTTATCTTCAAATAGTAACTTTGTATCAGCAATGAACAGATCATTGGCCTGACATACCAAGTCATATCATCACTTCAAATCAGTATTTAGAAAATCTAAGTATCTGTTCAGTGGTTATAGACAGAAATATAAAAATATGTACCAAAATACTTGTTTTTCAAACTAGAAAAAAAAAAAAAAAAAAACTAGGAAATTGCCAGGCAGTGGTGGCCCACGCCTTTAATCTCAGCACTAGGGAGGCAGAGGCAGGCGGATCTCTGAGTTTCAGAATGAGGTCCAGGACAGGCTCCAAAATTACAGAGAAACCCTGTATTGACAACAACAACAACAACATAGGAAATTATTATGAGTCCTTAATATCCACAAACCAACTTTCAGTAATTATCAACATCTATTTTTATTACACCCATCTTGTCATTTTTACTTTTTTAAAATTTAATTTTAAAATTTGAGCTGGATGCTGGTTTACTCCTTTAGATCCTAGCATAAAAGAGAGAGAGAGAGAGGCAAATCTTAAAATTCGAGGCCAGCCTGGTCTATAGAGATTTCCAGGACTGGCTCCATCATCACTGAGAAACCCTGTCTCAAAGACCAAAAGAAAAAAGAAAAAAAAAAAAAAAAAAAAAAAAGAAAGAAAGAAAGAAAGAAAGAAAAGAAAAGAAAGGTGAGCTGGAGAGATGGCTCAGTGGTTAAGAGTGTTTACTGCTCTTGCAGAAGGCCTGGGTTGGTTCCTCTTCTGACCGCTAGCAAGTGGTACATATATATACTACACTTACACACACACAAAATGAAACAGTATTTGTTAAATGTAGGAGCCAGCCAAGTCCCCTGGTGGCACATGCCTTTAATTACAACTGAGACAGAAGCAGGCAGATCACTGTAAGTTTGAGGCTAGTCTTGTCTACATAGTGAATTCTAAGGTAGGCAGGGCTATATAATGAGACCATGTCTCAAAGAAACAAAACAAAACAATCCACCCACAAACAAACAAAAAGTGGAAAAGCATCTGGGCATCAGGGTGCATGCCTGTAATCCCAGCTAACTCAAGCACTAGAGAGGCCGAAGTAAAAGGATCAGGAATTCAAAGCCATCCTCTGCTACACAGCAAGTTTCAAGCCAACCTAGGCTATCAGAGACCATGTTTCTGAACAAATCAGCTAATGTAAGGGCCTGGGCTGAGATAAAACTCCACAGCAGAGCCTTCGCCCGCATGAGAATATGGGTTTCAATTCCCAAATACAAAAATGAAGGTGCTAGAAATTCAGCCTACTGTAACAGCACTTGCCTGATATTGAAAAATACATTACAAAATACTCAAAATTTACAGAAAATAGCGCAATAGATGCCTAAGCCACAGTATTAGTAAGATATTAACACACATGTCACCTTTCTTAAGTGCTCAAGATCAAACTAAGGGACTTGGCCATGAGCGCTCTACCACCAACCTATAACCCCAGCTTAATTGACACCCACTTACCCACCCCCGCTCTTTTCTTTGCTTATGACTTATTTGTATGAGTGTTTTGCAGGCATGTATGTCTGTGTACAACGTGCCTGCCTGGTGCTCGAGGAGGTCTGTAGAGGGCATCCGATCCCTTGGAATTGAAATCACAGAAGATTGTGAGCCACCATGTGGGTGCTGCGATCAGAACCCGGACTCTCTAGAATAGCAGCCCCAGCTCTTAACTGCAGACTGTCCTCCATGTCGCTATACAGCCAAAGACGATCTTGAAATGCTGCTCTTCGGGTCTCCACTTCCCGAGCGCTGGGTGACAGTCAGGTGCGGCAGCCAGGACTCCGGGGTTAACAGAGGCCCTGGTCACCCCTGGGGGCGGAGCACAGCGTGCGACAGGGCAGAGCGTACGGTAGTGGGCGGAGCCTGGTGATCCGGGTCCCGCGGGCGTGCTGGCTTCACGGCCAGGCTGTCTGTCGTCATGGTGGGGCCCTGGGTGTACCTGGCGGCGGCGGTTTTGCTCATCAGCCTTATCTTCTTCCTAACTCGCAGCAAGGGTCGGGCGGCAGCAGGTAGGAGGTGCCGCCGTCCCAGGGCCGGAGGAGTCCGTTTCTCAGGGTTCCTGGGCTTTGGTAGGCCATCGCGTCTGACTGGTGCGCATGCACTGACGTGCTTTACTGTCCGGGCCGGGGACACTGCGCACGCGCTTGTGGATGCATTCCGGACTAATGCGGAGCCCTGGGTTGGGGACACAACCTGGGAGCCAAATCCGCGGTTCTGCTCTGCACCAATAGGAGAGGCTGTAGGTTCTCTAATCCTGCCAGTGCGTTCTACTTAGCAGAGCGAGGCAGCCTCAGGAAACACTGAAGGCATCTTGCTTTCCGCCCAAGAGGGCACCCATGGTCCTACCCTCCACCAGAATCAGAAGGCCATGTCATTGGCCTGGCACAAAGCATATAACTTGTCAGTCTTCCTTACAAACACTTCATGATTGCTTAGGAGTTTCTCATGTCTCTGATGCCTGACCCCATAGGGTACTTCAGAACATCTCTGTGCCCCAGGGGCAGAAGAAAGAGAAGCTGAGGTAAAGCTAATAGCCAACAAATCTTCCAGGGAGGAGAGATTCAAACCTTGACTGTAAAATGTGCTCTCCGGGTGGAGTACCCTGTAAAATTATAGCACTGCAAGAAGTAAACGCAATCTTGCAGTGGGCATTGAGTGAGATCTGTAAACCTCAGGGTGAGAGCATCCTAACAGGTCCTGCAAAGGGGGGCGGGAGGAGGAGTGAGTTGAAAGGAAGTCAAAGTATTAAAGCAGGTAGGAAATGAGAAATAAGCTTGCATCTTGACACCAAGGCATGAGTGATAAAGGCCTTGACAGACCAAAGCTGGATCATTGTGCTGGGGGCATCAATAGTCTGGAAGGAGGTTGAGCAAGGGAGGATGAGCCTCCCAAGATGCTGTTTCTTCACTATCAAGAGGATGGGCTGCTTGACAGTGTTATGGTTCCTCCCTCCCGGAAGCTGGTGGAGAACCCCTGCACAATGAGGAAGAGCGGGCAGGCGCAGGTCCAGTAGCCCAGCCTTGGCCCCAGGAGTCTGAGGAGCAGAGGACTGCGGGAGCCAGGCCCCGGCGCCGGAGGGACCTGGGCAGCCGTTTACAGGCCCAGCGACGAGCCCAGCGAGTGGCCTGGGCAGAAGTGGATAGGAACGAGGATGAAGCTGTTATTTCAGGTGAGAGGGCCCAGCCAGGGGGAAGGGAGCTGTATTAAAGGAGTTAACGAGTCCCCCCAGACTACATAAGGACAAGGAGCACAAGCTACAGTGTAAGGACATTTAGTGGTGGGGCCAGAGTCTTGGGCCTGCACTTTGGTCCTCAGAGTCGACATTTCTTAGCCTATTCCCTACTCCATCGGGTAATAATCTTGGCTCAGTGGGATTATCTGTAACCCTAGAATAAGTGCTTGGAGATAGAGACATTTCTGTTGACATGTATCTCCATATACCGGCTGCTGGGAGTCTCACGAAATCTTAGGATTATGGAAAAGATTCTCTTCTCTCGTGCTTAAAGTCTGCTTAAGTATGAAGAAGAGATTTCAAGGACTCAGAATTTAGGCAAATTTAGGACTTTGCCTTCATTTGACTTTTGCCTTGGGATTATTAGCCCCTTTGGCTGGAAAAGAGCCCTTTAGTGGATATGTGGTGTGTGCTTATAATTCAGCACTCAGAAGACAGAGGCAGGAGCGTGGCAAGTTTCAGGCCAACCTGGGTTACATATCTGTTTCAAAAGCAGCACACAGCAACAGCAAAGAGCCCTCTCATCACCACCCTTCCTGTTTCAGATTTCAGTCATAAACTCTGAGGCTCAAGCATCAACGTGTTATTAGTTCTCAGCTGGCCCTGGAGTGGCCCTGAGGTTGGGGTTGATTTTTCAGGCTGGCTCTGTTAAGATAAAGGGAAGATCCTGGTTAAAGGAGCCCATCGCTTCCTAACTAGAACATGGAAGGTGTCGAATTTATGGTTGGAATAAATTCATCCTTCCCTGGAAGTTTGGCACAGAGACAGAAATCAGGGGTACCTGCAGGTGCAGATACCTGTGATCCACAAGCATTCAAGTGTTGGGATCTTCTTACAGCTGTGCAGGCTCTAAAGTCTCATTTGTCCCTGTGGCCTTCCCACTACCCACACACACACCACCACCAAGTATACTTGTATGTGCACATTTGTAGTGGATGCTTCTGAAAGACAGAGGTGGGTAAAACCACACTCTACCCCCCCACCTCCACCCACCCCCAACCCTTGAGTAAGGTGATGGAGGGGAGGTTGTCTTTTCTGTCTAGGACTTAAACTGTTTTTGTCTGACCATACACAGCCCATGAGGAAGAAGGTGTTGAGAAGCCAGCAGAAGCTCACCCAACAGGGAAAATTGGAGCCAAGAAACTACGGAAGCTAGAGGAAAAACAGGCTCGAAAAGCCCAGCGTGAGGCAAGCAAGAGGATGGGGGCATAACTCCCCCAAGGGTAGAAAAGGGCCCAACCTTTAGTTCCCATGACAGACTGCCCTTGGGTTCCTTTAGTGCTAGAGGGGCATTGCTGCCTACCTGGCTTGCTCTCCTGCAGTCTTAGCTTATGTCCTGGCACAGGGTGGGCAAACTAGCCAGAGGAAGGGGAGATGGACCTAGAGATAACTCTCTCCAGGCTGAGGAGGCCGAACGTGAGGAACGGAAACGCCTAGAGTCCCAGCGTGAGGCTGAATGGAAGAAGGAAGAGGAGCGACTTCGCCTGAAGGAAGAGCAGAAGGTGAGATTGATCCCAGACACTGTTGTCTGACCCATTATGACCTAGCCTTGCTCTTAGATAGCTCCCAAATGCCTCCCTCCTACAAAATAGGCATGGCACTGGGTGTGGTAGTGACTCATACCTGTAATCCCAGCACTTGAGAAGCTGAAGCAGGAGGACCTGAGTTCAAGATCAGTTGGACTAACTAGCTACCTCCTATCTCTAAACCAGAAGATGGACTATGAATCCAGCACAAGGGCTTGTCCCGTTTTATTCTTTCCCCTGGCCTCAAAATATCACCTGTGGAAACACCATGGGTTTGAACTGAGGTTTGTTTTGTTGTTGTTGTTGATAGTCCTGGCTGTCCTGGAACTCTAGACCAGGCTGGTCTTGAACTCAGAGATTCCCCCTGCCTCTGCCTTCTGAGTGCTGGGATTAAAGGTGTGCGCCACCACAGCCCAGCTGGTTTTCCACAGTCTTAAGAGGTGATGAATCCATTGAGAGCCTGGCCTTGTGGTGCTTACAGAACTGGAGCCACATGAAAGATGGTTAATGACTCCTGTCAGCCAGATTATTCTAGATCCAGGTTTCCAAGAAAGGGGAAAGTGCAAACATGTAGGGTACATAAAACAAAAGTGCTTCTGGCTGGCCTTGTTGCAGAAGTCTACGTCAGGAGGGAGTGGCAGTGGGAGGCATGAGTCCAGAAAGAAAGTTCTTTAGCTTTGAGTAGCGACCATGCCTAATGTACCTTCGGTGTTCTGGCTTTCTCCGTGTTTTAGGTTTCTCAGCAGCTCTCCTCACTGTAAGACATTGGTACATTTCTCAAAGCAATAGTAACACACCCTTAAATTAAGTATCACACTTTATTCAGAGTTTTCCCCTTCCTTTTGGTTTTTTGAGGCAGCAGACTGGACTTGAACCTGCTGTGTATCCAAGAATGTCCTTTCCTCTGGTTTCTCCTCCCCACGCCCTGAGAGGAGAGGTGTGCACTATTTTAGATGGGAATTGAGCCCAGGGCTTCATGCTTGCTGGGCAAAGAACCTACCGCCTGAGCTACATACCTCCCAGCCCTAGTATTTTTTTCTATTTAATTTGTTTTATGTATATGGGTGTTTTGCCTGCATATATGCTTGGAAGCCAGAAGAGGGTGCCAGATTCCTCTGGAGCTGTGGTTATAGAATATTGTGAGCCACCATGTGGGTGCTGGGAATCGATCTCAGGTCCTCTGGTAGAGCTGCCACTTCTCCTGACTGCTGAGCCATCTCCCCAGTCCAAGTAATTGTCTTTTGCAGGATCATATCTAATGTACTGTTTCATTTACTTGTCAAGTCTTCTCGGCCTTTATGGGATTTGATTGTCAGGTTTTCCTGTTTACCCTCTTGATAGCTTTGAAGGGTACTGGAAAGTAGTTGTAGGTTATACCTTGATTTGGATCGACTGATTTTTATTTTTATTTTATTTATTTGTCCTTTAGATTAAAAAAATAAGGGCTACCATATGGGTTCCAACAACCAAACCTGAGTCCTCTAGAAGGACAGCCAGTTCTTTTAATTGTTGAGCCATCTCTGCAGCCTAACTTTTATTTTTAATCAATTTTTTGAGACAGGACTCAACTCTGTGTAGCACAGGCTGGCCTTGAACTTGTGGCACTCTGCTTACCTCTGCCTTTGAAGTGCTGGAAGGACTGGTGTCTCTCTTGAGGTTAGAGTGGGGTTAGGCTTTGTTGTGTTTTGTTTCCAGTACTGAAGGCTGCCTGTGGCCTGTGCACTCCAGGGAAGTACTCCACTGCTGAGCCATTACTGTGGGCTTTTCCTATTTCCCGTCTTCTCATCCTTGTTTGGAAGTACGTCACTGTTATGCTTCATTTACAAAGTGGAGAGTTGGATGGAGAGGGATGGGTCAGTGGGTAAGAGTGTCTACTGTTGTATCAGAGGACCAGAGTTTGGATCCCAGCACCCTTATCAAGTGGTGCACAAACACTGGTAACTCCGGCTCAAGGGGTTTTTATACCTACTTTTGACCCCCATGGGCAAGAGGGAGGTGAGCACAGACATTGGTTGAGCAAAAGGTGAGATAATCTCCTCTGGCATGCCCTTTTTATCTGGGCTGCTACTGGAAAGTGGGCCTTCCCATATCCATCAAGGCGGCCAGGATGGTTCTTCAAGTGAATCTGTCTACTCAGGTGATTCGGAAGCTAGACTGTAGTGGACTGGCTGTGTGCATGGGTAATAGGAAGTAGAATCTGCTGTTTGTTCACAGCTGGACGTGACCAGGGAGACGTTATGGCAGTGTTTTCAAGAATTTGTTTCTTATATTATCTCCAGAGAGGGGCAGGGGAAGGGTGTGAATATCATTGCTGGATGGTAGGGCTGGTAAGGAAGCCTCTGCCTATTGTTTTGCTCGAGACCAAAGGGTGAAAGTCTTACAGAAGCACTGTGTCAGGATTGTATATGCTTGTGTCCTACAGAGACAGCAGAAACCAGAACAGATATGAGTGAGCAGCTGCCCCAAATACCTGCCTCTTCTTTCTCTGTGTTCACAGGAAGAGGAAGAGAGAAAGGCTCGGGAGGAGCAGGCCCGGCGGGAGCATGAAGAGTACCTGAAACTGAAGGAGGCCTTCGTGGTAGAAGAGGAAGGTGTTAGCGAAACCATGACTGAGGAGCAGGTGGGCCCATCACTCCTGGGAAAGCTGTGCCACAAGGATAGTGTGTGTTAGGTCCAAGGCCATCCACTCCACCTTAGGCACTTCTGGCTGTGTACTGAGAAGCAGTTTGGGTGCCCGTTAAGTGTGACTGTAGCCTTGGTCTCGGCAGAGAATATTGTCCTATCATGCCTTAGTCTGGGAGGCTCTACCCTTCATGAGAGCAGGTGATGGCGTGGGAACACAGGGCAGGCTGCAAGCAGGCAACGTGCAGGTGAGCAGGAAGTATAGATAGATAGGGCCAGGCACAGAACCGTGTCCCTCTAGCCAGGGGTGATGCTCACTGGTTTCTCTGCTTTCTAGTCTCACAGCTTCCTGACTGAATTCATCAATTACATTAAGGTAAGAGGCTCAGAGAATTCTGGTATCTTCTCCTGCCATGTGAGTGTGCATATGTGTCTGTGCATGTTTTGTGTATGTTCTCAGGACTAAGCTGGGGATGTTTCATTTAGTCCTGGACTGGAATGGGCATGGGGTCCAATGACTGGTTCTTGGCCAGGAAAGTCCTTTCGCTTCACACCCAAAAGGTAGAGAAGGACAGTAGTCTGTGTGGGAGGTGCAAGCCTCTGATGGCTTCCTAATGCTTGGTTTGACAGTTCCTCTGCTCCTCAGACCCCACGCTCAATGAGTCATCATGTTTTGAAGTCAATTCACATGTGTTTTCTGTCAGTGCTGTCACATGGAGGTGCCACTGAGTTGGAACAAATGTCCTGTGCTCTGTGGTCCTGCCTGGGAACTTGGGCCTTCAAGAAGAAATAGGATGGTGTTTGCATTGTAACCTAGAGCAGTCAGCAGTGTCCCTCTGTCCATAGCCACTTCACAGGCTGCCCTGATGCTCCGCATTGCGTAAGCACATCCTGATCTGCTTTGCTGCTAAGCAACTTCTCTCCCACAAAGGATGCGAGAAGGGGAGAGGTTTTCCAGTGCAGCTCAGGGGTGCAGAGGCAGCTGAGGGAAGGAGTGCAGAGGGAGCGGGGGCGATGGTGGGGGTGGCATCAGGGGCTGCCAAGAAGCTGGGGCTTGCATAATCCTCCCCCACCTCTCCTAAAAGAGAACAGGGTTTAGATGTCTCCCCACAACAGTGAGGGGCTGGGCACATGTCTGGGGCCCAGGATCTTCCAAAGGCCCTTTCCCCTTAGGTTGAGCGCATTCCCCCTTGATGAAGCCCACACTCCACCCTGGCACATTGCCCTGGGCGAAACTTTTCACACTGTCCTGCTGTTGTTGAGAACTTGCTGTCCCTTCCTACACAGTGGGAAGCAGCGCTTCCTTCACGAGGCCTCCCAGGTAGATTTAGAGGTCTGCTTCAGGGTTGCCCTCTTTTCTGCAGAGGCCAGAAGGAAGAGTTCCCAGGTAGGCCTGGCTTGTTTTGTTTGTTTGCTTGTTTTGTTTTGTTTTTCTAGATAGTTTCTCCGTGTAACTCTGTACTGGAACTCACTTTGTAGCCCAGGCTGACCTCAAACTCTTAAGATCCGCCTGCCTCTGCCTCCCGAGAATTAGGATTAAAGGCATGTGCTATCATTCCCCATTGTTGATGGTCTCCAAACTCGGAGCTTAGGAGTTTGTTCAGCCTGTGCTAGCTTATGCCCTTGGAGGGAGGAAGAGACCTCTGGAATTCATCCCATCTACCTCTTCCACACTCCACGGGGGTCAGGGCCTGTAGCAGAATGTCAGAACTGGAGGAAGGTCTCTGCACGCAGCTTGCTTCACTTGAACAGTAAGAATGTCTGTTCCACTGTCTACCATGGCTAGGTATATCTGTTTGTGCAAATACACTTTTGACCCTAGTAGTACCCTCAGGCCAGATCCTCAGGAACCAGGCACCATAGGAGGTGACTGACTGTGTTCCTGCTCCAAGCTGCTGCTGAGGGCCTAGTGCCTGGTCTGTTTTCTAGGTTGAAGCTGCTGGCCAGATCACCTTGTGCTTGCCGGATTCCCTAGTCTAACTGCTTCTTGATTGTACTCTCCCTAACCCTTCTACCCCAACCCGTTCCCCTAATTGCACATACTTTTTGGCATGCCAACAAGTCACATGTTGGCATGAGGAGGCGTCACTGTGTCATTACTCCCCCGGCTCATTTGCTGTGGAAATGCAAGGGGCCGCCTTCTCTCGAAGCATATGCTGTATGGGGCAAAGGTGGGGGCAGCTGCATGTGTAGACCCAGCTGCGACTCCTTGACTGAGCTGCTGGGAGCTAAAGTTTCTCCTCGGGCTGTGAGAGCAGCACATGAAACATGGCATAGGACGGCACACAGAAAGCGCTTTCTCCACTGTTAATATGGTTACTTTTGTGTATTTGTATGTGTGTGGGTGCTCCTGTGTACTGCGGTGTGTACATGGATGTGCACATATGTGGGGGACTTCTAGAATTGTTTGTTCCTCAGGTACTGTCCACCCCCCCCTTTTTAATTTTATTTTTATTTTTTGCAAGAAGAAGGGTGATGAGCACTCGCTCATTGGCCTGGAACTCACCAAGTAGACTACATGGCTGGCCAGTGAGCCTCAGTAATCTGCCTGTCTCTGCTTTTCCATCGCTGAGGTTCCAAGGGCATGATGTCACCACACTCAGCTATTTGTTTGTTTTTGAAACAGGCTCTCACTATGTAGAGTCAAACTCCCAGAGATCCATCTGCCTCCGCCTCTTGAGTTCATGCACTGCCTCAGTCACACCCAGCTTCTTTATGTGAGTTCTGGGGATTGGACTCTAGTCCTTGGTAGCATACAAGCACTTTACTGACAGCCATCTTGCCAGCTTTAGTGGTAACTATTTGACCAATCTCGGTGAGAGGGGGTTTGCCTCAGACAGTGTGAAGAGGGTGCTTGAAAAGAAGTATGGACATGTCAGGGTTGTGGAAATGTAGTCTGAAGGAAGGGGTCACTTACGAAAGCCCGCAGGCCTGTTATCTTTCCTTTTCTATCTACTTCTGTTCATCAGAGAGGCTTTTAGCTCAGGGGTAGGAACTGTCTCTCTTATTTACTTTTCCTTCAAACCCACCCACCCCCCTTTTAACGTATGTGAATATTTTTGCCTGCATGAATGTATGTGCACCATATATGCCTGTGCTCCTGGAGTTCTGTGAACTGGAGTTATGGATGGTTGTAAGCCACCATGAGGGTACTAGGAATCAAACCTGGGTACAAGTGCTCTAAATCACTGAGCCACCTCTCCAGCCCCATCTTAATGCCTTGTCTGGCAGGTCCTCAGCAAACACAAGTCTAGATGAGAAGTTTTGTTTTTTGAGATGGAGTCTTATAGCTTAGACAGGCCTTAAACTGAATATATGGCCAAAAATAGTTTTGAACTGACCTTCCTGGCTCTAACTTCAAAGTATTAGGATTACAGGTATTGTCTGAAACACCTGATTTAGGTAACCATTTTTTATTTGTAAAAGCTTAAAAACAACAAGACCAAAGTTTGGGCTGGCAAGATGACTCAGCAGGTCAAGTTCTCACTGCCAGACCTCAAGATTGCAGTTCTGTTCCTGGGACTCACATGGTGAATGGAGAACCAATTTCTGAAGGTTGTCTTCTGGCTGCTACGTGTGTGTTGTTGCACACACACACATGCACGAACGCACGCATGCATTAGATAATCTAAAAATGTTAGTTTAGAAAAATGGTGTGCAAGCCAGGTGGTGATGGCACACACCTTTAATCCCAGGACTGTGAGGCAGAGGCAAGTGGATCTCTGAGTTAGAGGCCAGCCTGGTCTACAGATCAAGTTCCAGAATGGGCTCCAAAGCTACACAGAGAAACCTCTAAAAACCAGAAAAAAAAAAAAAAAAAAAAAAAAAATAAGAAAAGGAAGGAAGGAAGGAAAGAAGGAAGGAAGGAAGGAAGGGCATCTCACTGGTTTAGAGCTGGCCAAGTGGTCTCAGCCTCTCTTTTCTTCCTTTTATCTATAGCAGTCCAAGGTTGTGCTTTTGGAAGATCTGGCTTTCCAGATGGGTCTGAGGACTCAGGTAAGCCCTGGATTAGGATGTGGGATATAGCTAAAGGGTCTGTGTGGTAAGTGGTGGGGCTGGCCTGAGTATGGTAAGTTGTGATGCCCCTCCAGGCTATCTCCAACCAACAGTGAACAAGGTACAGGAATTTCCAGACATTCCAGGAATTCTGCATTTCTACAGAGATGAAATGAACAGGAAAGGAAAAGGAAATTCAAATGCCATACTTTAGCCTTCCCTGTAACCAAAGCAGTCCAAATCCAGTTACCTCTGGCACACTGGCTATTTTGCAGCCAGACAGCTCCATTATTCCTTTTCCAGCTGAAAAAGAGCTGTCAGACCCTAGGATCAGAGAGTCACTCCATTCAAGAGTCCCTCCAAAGGGAAGTGTAGTCATAGCCAAGGGTCAAGGAGGTGGTGAAATTTGCCTGTCGTAATAGAGGGATAATGGGTCTGTGGGCATGGGAACCCCAAGACAAGCTCTGAGTCTTGTTTTTCTTGTAGGACACCATAAACCGCATCCAAGACCTACTCACTGAGGGGACTCTAACAGGTGAGACAATGAGAATCAACTATATTAGATAGATAGATAGATAGATAGATAGATAGATAGATAGATACATAGATAGATACATAGATAGATACATAGATACATAGATAGATAGATAGATAGATAGATAGATAGATAGATAGATAGATAGATAGATCGATCCCTGGCCTATGGGAGTTGTATGGCCACACAAGGCTGCTGGGACTTGCTCCAAGAGCAACTTGTTCTCTCCAAGTTGGGAGGGATATGCATTGAGGAACACTGAGGAATTGGACTTCATTACAAGGAGGACATAGAGGCCTCGGCCTACCTGTGGAATGAGGACTATGAAAACAGGATTGGGTGGCTCACCCACATGGGATTGATCTACCCAGGAAGAGGCAGGCTGACAGGAGAGCCAAAAAGGCTCTAAATCAGTTGTAAAAGAAGAAATGATCATTTGCAGGTTAGCTAGGAAAAGCTGGGGAGGACTCAATCCTGCAACATGCATGTCCTTATAGGTGTGATTGACGACCGGGGCAAGTTCATCTACATAACCCCAGAAGAACTGGCTGCTGTGGCCAATTTCATCAGACAGCGGGGCCGGGTGTCCATCACTGAGCTTGCCCAGGCCAGTAACTCTCTCATCTCCTGGGGCCAAGACCTTCCTGCCCAGGCTTCAGTCTGACTCCGTTCCCCACTTGGATGTATCATGTGACCTACATACATTGCCGTCTTTCCCTGCCATCTTGGGGCAGGGATGGCATCTGACCAGAAAGTTGGGGATTAAAGGCCTCTGAACACTGCTGAGCTTCCTGTGGCTTGGTGTCGAAGGCTGGCCCGGCATCCCAGATAAGCAGGTGAAATCTAGACCTCCGTGTGTATCTTAGAGGTGAGAGGGTCCCTTATATGGTGGCAGAAGTCCCATTCATGATTTCAAAACAAACAAAAAAACCCAACCTATTGCACATTTATTATATCCATTTGTGCCCTGCAAGCCCAGCTTCCTGGATGGGTTCCTTTTCTTGGGCAGAGTGAAGGGCAAATAGGAGAGAGTCTCTCCTTCGGTTGTTGAAGGAAATTTCACCATCTTATTACATACCCAGGAGTTCTGAGTAGAGTCAGGAGTCCTGGGGAGAAGAGTTAATGAGAAGTGCCAAGGATAGAGACCTGGAGACATAGGCTCGCTATGTAGCCTCTGAAAGGGAGGTCTCTGGAAAAAAAGACTGCCTGCTGCTTGTGAGGCAGGGAAAGGAAGAAGAAGGCCCATTTGGGCTGGATGTAAGTGTCCTGACAGCACATCACATGAACTCAGCTCTGAATCCTTGACAAAAAAAAGTTCTAAGTGGTGTGGGTGATTCCACCCACTGGAGGATATGCGGAACATATGCTCAGAAGTGGGTGTGGGGTGGAAGATGTGTGCTCTTGTAGGGTCATTTGCTCTGCTTCCAGTGGGCTGTGTATGGAGTGGGCATCATACTGTGTTGAGGACGAGACACATTTTTAAATTATTTCATGTATATGGATGTTTTTGCTTGTGTGGATTTGTGTGCACCATGCACATGCCTGCAGAGTCCAGAAGGGGGCATCAGATCCCTTGATCTTGGAGTTAGAAAGGGTTGAGAGCCACCTTGTAGATGCTGAGGACTCTAGCAGAGTCCTAACTTTGAGCCATCTCTTCTCTAGTCTCTTGGGGGTGGGGAGGGAGAGAGAGAGAGAGAGAGGGAGGGAGGGAGGTCCAGATCTTACTAAGTGGCTTAGAGCTCACTGTATAGACCAAGCTGGCCTTGAACTCACAGAGATGTGTCTGATTCAGCTTCCCAAGTACTAGAATTAAAGGCATGCACCACCGTGTACAGCCTTCTTTGTTTGATTTTGGAGATAGTAGGTACTTCTAGTCAGTGAATAAAGGGCTGCATCCATTGTTGGTAAGGTCAACAATAACCTAGTCTTAGTAGTAGAAGAAATACGGATAACCATGGTAAGAGGTAGGGCAGGAGAGGCATAGTTGACAGTAGAGTCAACTCATCCGGTGGTTACCATTCTTATTTATGCATTAGAACAACCTATACCCAAGACAGTTAATGCAGAATCTTGATACCATCAGAGTACATCAGCAGGAGATTGCCAAGGGCAACAAAGCTGAAAGCCCAGGAAGACAGGGCTACACAGAAGAGGCTAGGGAGGTAATTGGGCAGGTAAAAATACTGTCAGTGCAAGTTTGTTGACCAGGTTAACCCCTGATACCACCATGTACAAAGTTAGCTATGTTACCATGCGTCTATAACCCCAGGATTCCTGCAGGGAGATGGTAGCAGAGCCCAGAAACTGGTGAGCTGCCAGCCTGGAATATGCATAACAGCAGAAACAAGATGACCCTGCCTCAGCAAGTAGCAATTGAGAACTATTCCAGAAAATTGTCCTCTGACCACCACACAGGCTCTGTGGCACAGACACACACACACACACACACACACACACACACACACACACACACACACACACACACACTCAAACCTCTAGTAAGAGAGGCTTTTCAGATCAAGACCTCAGTACCTGTCTCCACTTAACACATCCCTCAGCATCTGTCTCTAAGTTTAGAGATGCAGCTCTGGCACTGCTAGGCCATTCTAGGACCATGCCCCAAGACCTGAAGTAGGATGAAAGCATATCTTTGACATCTTCTCTTTTGTTTTCAAGACTAGGTTTCCTTGTGTAGCCCTAGCTTCCCTGGAACTCTGTAGACCAGGGTGGCCTTGGACTTGAAGAGATCTGCCTGCCTCTGCCTTCTGAGTGCTGGGATTAAAGGCATGCTCCATCACCACCCAGCTCTTTGACATCTTAAAAAAAAAATTTTTTTTTAAGGTAGTCTCATGCAGCCCAAGTGGACTTCAAGTTAGGGTGCTTTGGACTCAGGCTCCAAGTGCTGGAATTACAGGCATACACAGCCATATCCCTAGCCCTAGCCTTTATGATGTTCCAAGGAGTTGGTGTAAAAGGAAAAGCCTATAACATCTCTCTCTCTCTCTCTCTCTCTCTCTCTCTCTCTCTCTCTCTCTCTGTATGTGTGTTTTGTCTGCTTACATGTAGTGCCCATGGAAACCAGAAAAGAGCATTGGATTCCTGGAATTGGAGTTACAATCAGTTATGAGCTGCCTTTTAGATGGTAGGAATCAGGCCCAGGCTTTCTGGAAGAACAGCCATTGCTCTTAATCACTGAGCCATCTCTCCAGTCCCTGAAAGGCATTTAATCTTTTGTGCATTATATGTTCACTTTTAGTGCTTAGTCTGTTAATGTAATAAACTTAGTAAATAAACAGTTCACCAAATAGTAAGTAGCTAATGTTTTGCTAAATATGTATAAATTGTTTCCACAACTACTCAGTTAAAACTTGCAGGATAAGCTGGGCTGGTAGTACATACCTTTAGTCCCACACTCTGGAAGCAGAGGTAAGTGAATCTCTGTGAGTTCCAGGACAGCCAGGATAAGCAACTTACACTTTTTTAAACATTAATTGTTAAAGATTTCTAAGTTTTTCATTAAACATTCTCAGGGCTGTGGATACATCTCATATAGAGTCTCATATTTGATCTCTAACACCATAATCAATAAGCTAATATATAAATATTTTAAATACTTGTTTCTGTTTCTAGATAGGGTCTTATGTAACTCAAGCATATCCTCTTGTAGGCTGCTGAAGCAAGCATTTCACAGTGTATTACTTGCTCTCCCGGTGTGTGATGGCTTCTGTCTATTGTATTTCATTGCCAGTGGTGGCTAAGCTTTCAGCACACCAGTGATGGTTTGACTTTACAGCTCATCAACAAGTCTAATTTTTGTTTATTTTAAACAGGACCCTACTCAGACTCAGTCTATGCTGGTCTTGAACTCTGAGTGCTCCTGCTTCTGCCTTATAAGCAATGGGATTTCTGCTTTACCCTACTATGCCCTGCTCTGTGAACAGAGCTTTGACCAGTAGATGTGGAAATGTAATTCAATATTAGAGTACTTGAATGTGAGGTCCTGCATTTTATCCTCTAAAAATAAGAGGATCTAAAAATAAGAGAGAAAGAAATAGAGTCTTAAAGAGCCTTGTTCCTTTTGTATTAAGTACAGGGCCGAGTAAATATCTAGATAAGTGTTATATATTGTACATAACTGTGTGTGTGTGTGTGTGTGAGTGTGTGTGTGTGTGTGTGTGTGTGTGTGTGTGTGTGTATGTGTGTGTGTATACAGGTACTTAAGGAGGCCAGCAGTGTCCCCTGGAGCTGGAGTTTCAGGCAGTTGTGACAGCCAGATATGGGTGCTGGGAACTGAACTCAGGACGTCTTCAAGAATAGTAGTGTTCCTAACCACTAAGCCATGTCTCCAGCCCTGTTTTTTGCTTATTTATTGTATGTGTATGTGCATCACATAGTTGCAGGTATTCAGGGAGGGTGTCTGATCCCAAGAGCTAGAGTTACAAGTGATTGTGAGCCACCCAGCATGGGTGCCAGGAACTAAACCTAGGTCCTCCAGAAAACAGAAAATGTTCCTAACCACTAAAGAATTTCTTCTGCCCTGTTTGCTTTTTGAGACAGGGTTTGTTATGGCCTAGACTGGCCCTGAACTTGCTATTTAACTGAGAATGACCTTGATCCTTCTGTTTCCAAGAAAGTACTGGGATTATAGGCATGCATTAGTTACCATGTCTAGTTTATGTGGTGCTAGAATTGAACCCAAAGCCTCCTGCATGCAGGCAAGCATTGTACTAAAGTACATCCTTAGTCCTTTGTTTGTTCGTTTGTTTGTTTGTTTGTTTGTTTTCATTCTGTTTGTCTAACCTGTAACTCACTATGTAGACCATACTGGCTCTCTTAGTCACTTTTATATTGCTGAATGAAGAGACACAGGAGCAAGGTAATTCAAAGAAAGCATTTAATTGTGGTCTTGCTTGCTTACAGTTTCAGAGGGTTAGTGCTTTATGGAGGAGCACATGGCAGCAAACAGGAAGAGTTCTACATCCTTATTGCTAGTGAGCAGACAGAGACAGACAGACAGACAGACACACACACACACACACACACACACACACACACACACACACACACACTGGGCTTGTTGTGACATACCTCCAACAAGGCCACATCCACTCTGACAAGGCTACACCTATCCTCTGACATTAGCTGGAGAAACATACAAATATATGATCCTATAGGGGCCAATCTCATTCAAAACTGGCATGAACTTTTGACCCGTCTGCCTGTGCATCTCAAATGCTTGGCTGCCTTAATGTCCTTTTATTTTGTGCATGTTGTCTCATCAAAATAGACTATAGAGTAACAAATACAAATTCATAAGTGAGATATTGAGCATATTGTCCATAATCTTCAGGAAATTGTTTCCACAGCTCAGTTACTGTCCCTACTGAGTGACAACAACCCAGGAGACATTGCTATAGCAAAGGGAAAGACACAAAGGCAGATAATAAAAGTTTCATTAGATCATCACCAAATCTGTAGTAATTATGTAAAACAAGCTTACAGAGAAAACTGAATTGGATTGATTTATTGTAACTATTACAAAACTTAGAGCTAGCCAGAAGGTGGTGGCACATGCCTTAATCCCAGCACTTGGAAGGCAGAGGCAAGTGGATCTCTGATTTCAAGGCCTGGTCTACTGAGCTAGGTCCAGGACAGCTAGGGCTGTCTCTAAAAATAAAACAAAGCAAATAAACAAAAAACTTAGAGCTGTTTTAAGTCTGTGTATTTCCATGAAATTGACTAGGTCTCTGTTACCCCAGCAGATAGGAGCTGCAAGATGAG